CACCTAGTGGTGGTATTGTCTGAGTGTATGTGAACCACTGAAGATCTGATAAAGCCCCAGAAGGCATGATGTGTTGTGCATTGTTGCCTGAAACTGCAGTATGTTGATGTGGAGCGAGGCCTCCTCTCCAGACCACAGATGCAGCACCCTTGAGTCCACATGCACTCCCCAACCCCGAACATCCATACTAACACAAGGAGGCATATTTCACGGTGTGGAGCTGAGACGTCAATGGCAGACTCCAACTAAGGGGCGATCATGAGGGACCTTGTGAACTTTTGGACCAGGAGTGAGGACAGAACTGAAAGGCAAAGTAGGTCCACAGCAGCTTGATATGATGTTGGTCCCAGCATCGTTCCTATCGTTACTGGACTCAATGGATGCTCAGAGGCCAGAACTAGAGTTGATGGTACAAGATATCTGCCCTTCCTACCCTGTAAAGAGGAGAGTGAGAAGCACCTGCACCATCCTGCATGCCAGATCGACATGGCTGATCGTTACTTTTCTTAGGGGAGGCAGATGTGTCACCCTGGACCTAGAGTGATCTCAATTGGTTCTACATGACTTTTTTTTGGCAATGATGATGAAGAACAACTCCCGCACCACTTCAGGGAGGTCCCTGCTTTGGAACAGGAGGCAGCAGCACTATTCAAGCTGGAGGGTGATCAGTAGCCCAAGGAAGTGCTGGATCAGGCCTCATGACTTGCTCAAGTAGGTGCTGCTCAAGGCAAAAATCCCACGCCACCTGAGTCATCTCCTTGAACAATCTGTGGATCAAGTAGCACTCTCAACGGTAGGCTTCCCCAAGACAGAGCAAGTACCGCATGTGGAGGGGTCACTGTTAGGAATAACCACTGCACAGAAAGGGCAGTGCTTGAACCCCAGCCTTCTCTTTGTTAGCTAAACAGACTGATCTCCTGGAATTTATCAGTCTAAGGCAGGGCTACTCAACTTTGGAAGCCCCAGGGTCCACAATGATACTCATAGCATATGCCAAGGGCCTCCACTTATGCGCGGTTGCATATACATGCATATATATATATATATGCAAATATATGCAAATAGCTTCTTTTACACTGATGGGCATGAGTACAAAGCACCTCTCACAATGCCTGGCACTTCCTCCCTGGGGGCTAGAAACGTCGCCATTCTGTACCCATCTGTTGTAGCCAGCCCGTCCGCTTTTGTCTTTCAGTGTTCACCCTGCCTGGGAGATACCTCACTATTGTGGAGCGTGTTCCCAATGGAGGCCATGTTCAAAGCATCCTACCCGTGGACCATGTGTTGATTCCTGCGTAAACCCAAACCACACCATGGGCTACAAACAAATGGGCTGGATGCGGCCTGCAGGCCATGTGTTGAGTAGCCCTGCCCTAAGGCATGTTTTCCAATCTTTGATCATTCTCATGGCTCATCTCTAAACCCTCTCCAGTTTATTTATGAACAACCTTCTTACATTATGGCTACCAGAACTGGCCACAATACTCCAGTCGTATCTGTTCCAGTGCCAAAACAGAGCCAATAATAACCTCTCTATTTCTCCTTGAGACCACCCTCTTTATACAGGCAAGAATAGCATTAGCTCTTTTGGCCACAGTGTTGTACTGGGAACTCATGTGCAGCTGATTATCTGCCATGTTCCAAATCTTCTTCAGAGTCACTGCTTTAAAAGATAGAGTTCTTCATCTCATAAGGAACAAAGAATGCAGGCCATCCTAAGTGTATGACTTTACATTCAGCCATATTAAGATACATACTGTTTTGCTTCCATTCAACTTATCAACCAATCCAGACCATTCTATCAGTGACATGTTCTCTTATTGTTTACAAGTCCCCTCAATCCCTGTGTCATCTGCAAATTTTATCAAGAATTATTTATCTTTTTTCCCAGCTCATGTATAAAAATGTTAATTAAAAAAACAAGCATATGGGCAAAAGAGACCTCACTAGAAAAGTGGCTTTGAAGATGATTCACATTTTTCATTGCATTTTGAAACCTGTTATTTTTAATCCATTTACTAATGCTAATTTTATATCATCATCAAAATGTTGGCTGGTACCAGGTCAAGTACCTTACAAAAGTTTAAATATATGGCATCAACACTATTAGATGAAATCAACTAAATTTGTATTCTTCTTCTACACCATTCTCTTCTGTACCTTTGGTATGTAAATTAAACCACTTTTGTCATTCATACACTCAAGTTCAACCTCTACATTACCCTTTTAATGTGGCTTCAAGAATGCTGTTCAAAATCATGAAAATCAGAGATAAAAAAAGATAAAGGAAATAAAATCCATTGCCTGCATATGCAAATACATATAACAGTCCTCTAATGAGATATCATAGATATTAAAATGATGCTACTCCTAAACCAATGCACATTAGTAGAAGTAAAGGATATTAAAATCCTATATAGTAATTTTGCCTGTGTCCTATATTGGATTTTGTGTATACCTGCCTCTGGAAGTATTATAATCTTCTGAAATTTAGCAAAAAGCAGAATTTCAGGGATGTGAAACCACGCAAAATAAATTAAATTCCATTGTCTCTCCTGATATTAAAAGTTCAGTCATCTGGATTTCCACGTTTTTGGTTGTTATCCTTTGCCCTACATTTCTCTTGTCCACTGCACTGTTATGCTTACTTCTCATGCATTCTCCTTTAAATAAGAATAATTATAAAGTTGTGCCCTGAGACTCTTGCTCAGTGTGTTGACCAGGCCACAAAAATGCATTCCCTTACCTGGTGGCTGATTTGAGATTAACCCAGGTGTTAATTCCACAACACCTAGGCAGCCTGAGGCTCTTACCTTGCAAAGAGCTCCACGTGAGCAGATTCTTGTGCCCAGGTAGAGCTCACTGAATCACCAGGGCCTATGTCCTGGGATGGCAACTTGAAAAAAATACCAAACCTGACACCTCCCAATGCAATTAATCAAAACAAAAGAAAAAGGAAGCTGAAGAGGTGTGGAAGAATATGAAAACATCTCACTGGCTGATGCTTACTGGTTACGGTTAACTGGCAGACCCAGACTGGAATGCTGCAGGCAGTGGCACTCCAGCCCACCTGCTCCCGTTTAAGCAATTAACCAATTAACTGATTAAATGGGATATTACATCCCTCTTGTACAGCACAGAGAATGTTACTGAAATATATCAAGTAAATAACACTAATAATACAATAGTGTTGTGGGACAACTCAGGACTAGACTCTCTTTTCCAGACCTGTCAATTTCTGTCTCCCTAGAGTCTCAGCCCCCCTCTTTCATGCCTCCCTGAAGACATTTATCTAGCAGTTCAAGGTCAGCATGGCTAAAAAAAGCCCTTAATATCCTTCCTTCCCTCCCTTCAGGCTTCCCCAAACACCTCTTCTCTACATCATTGTGGTTAACCACACTATTCTACACATCTGTAACCTTACAATCACCTTCAACTTGCCCAATCTCTAGGTCTTCACATCCAGGCTATGTCTCAGTTTTGCAGATTCTTTCTGTCTCATATCTCGTAGTGTATTACACTGGGCACTTAGATTGAGATTGAGATACTCAAAATAATGGCCATTATTTCCCTAAATCCTGCCTTAAAGACAATGAGAGAGTGCCATCTTCTCCTGTGAGTGCAGTAATGACAGCCTTCACCTTTGACCTTGGGGGAGAACTGGAAGCCAGCATGTAAGTTGGACCATGGCAATAGCAGTCAAACACTGTTTCATCTTGCAACTACTACCAAGTCACAAGTATATGGCTATTAGAGCAATACCCACAATTTAGCAGGGCACAGGAAAAGTAGGATTTCAGTACCATAACTGTTTTTAATTTGGGGATTATAAAGTGTGTATTGATGTAGTTACTACCATCTTCTGATTCAAAAGAAACAGGTGAGTTTCTCAGATTGGACATTTTTTTCTCAATAAGTTAATGTCACAATAAATTCATTCAGAAAACACTGAACAAGGGTCATTAACATTCACTCTGAGCAAAAAATAGATCTGACAACACCCAAACTCTTTTGATTATTTTCTTCACTCCAAACACTGTTCATCACACTGAAGTTTGATTTCACTGGATTGTGTGTTCCTGGTAAATGAACAGCACAGTTAACCAAATATTCTGAAAGGACATTTTGTAATTATAAGAATCCCAAACATTTTGATGAATGAAGTGAAAAACTGGAACATTTCAGGTGCCTGAAAAGAAATTCCTGGGGCGCCAGGATATCATATGAGAAAACAGGATTCAGACAGTTTAACTGGGACATAAATTTTCTTTTGCAGCTGAGGTATATATATGGCTGAAACTCTGCTTCCCGTAGTGTGGTATTGCTCACTCAAGCATTTCCGGGTTGAAAGACAGAGTGATCTTGTAGTCCGAGTTCTTCCCTACATCTAGCCTCAATTTACTCCCATTTGGTTCACTTTCATCCTCTTCTGCAGCCTATCTGCTCAAATAGCCAATGAATTAGTCAATACTTACATTAAAGTGTCCTCACAGGGTGGAAGGACAAAACCTCAATAAGTTTAATGGCAGCTGGGAAGAGGAGTGCAAATCTCCAAGGGCCACTGTTTCAGGCTGTATGCAGACTTTAGGAAGACAATACTGCACTTGTTACATTTGGTAAAATAACTGACTCAGACCAGCACCGTTGGACTTAGTAACCAGTGTGCTGAGCATAAGCTTGATGGGCAAGACTTCACAGAAAGCATTTTAAAGATATTCATATTGGACTGCCACAATCCCAAAAGCCCATCAGGGAGGCCATTTCTTTATCGATTGAGAGCAGAGCTCTGCATGTTTCTGACAGAACTCAATGGCCGCATGAATTAAAGACGCTGAAACCTACAGTGAAGCCAGTTCAGCAGTTCCAGTGACTAGAGCACTTCAATACACACAGGGATGCTTTTACTTACAACAGTTATAATTGGGACCAATCCTACAAATATTGCTCTAGCTGAGCCAAAGCTACTTGCATGACTGCAGTGAGTTATGGGGTTTCCCTACCTTCTGGGCTATGGCTTCCGGAGTACTATGGAGGGTGCTGCAATCCCCATCATGATATTCTTCTCTACATTCACGGCAGAACACAAACTGGAAAACAAAATAATTCACAAATCATAAAACAAGTTAGGGATAAAATCAGCACATTACAGCCACAAAATTAAATACAATAAAATTTGATTATTTAAATGAGCTTTTGCTATGTGGCACATACGGTATCCTGGGATACTGATGGGTTGTTTTTTCTTGCACAGTGCAAATTTGTTATAAAAAAGGGACAAGCTGAAGTTAGGTTTTTTTATAGTATTTATTTTTGGAAGTAGTCTATATGCAAAGTACTAAGTCAAACACATTCCCTTAAGGAAAACTACCATGTAGTAGAAGATAACTTTCTACAATTTATTTGAACCACTGCACAGAACCTAAAATTATATTATTTCACAGGTTTCTGTAGAATGATTTAATATGTAAAAAAAAAAAACCAGAATAACCCCTCCCCCCCAGACCACAACACTATAGAAAGATGATGATTCTCTATTCAGTGGAAGAGGCTGTTTGAGGAATTGCAATAGAATTTTATTATTATTATTATATTTTAGAATTGTATTTGTTTCATCCCTGTTAAATTCTATAGCTCTTTTGATAAGAGTTCAGCCACGCAGCATGTCCTTTACAGACTGGTAACACATTTATCTGTAGCATTGCTTGAGCTGTAACTGCTATCTAAAATGGTTCATACGCAACTAGCTTGTTCCATTTTTATACTCTAAAATGAAGATATCAGTCTTGACATGTGTCAAAATCTTTGACCCATCAATTCCACATTAATTTTTGTGTCCTTGTGGATAAGAAGAAAAGTCAATAATGTAAAACGGGTCTCTCATGCTGTGCTGAAGCCATGCTGTCTTGACCCACCTTCAGACTCTGAAGGATCTCTCAGCAGTTGGCTGTTCTGACTGGCATTATAAGTAAGACTGATAAAGCAGCCTTGATTTCTAGATACAGAGCTACATTCAGATGTAATGAATAAGGATATCAGGGGAACCTGACACTGGGACATTTATCTGCCACAAATTCCATCTCCGCAATTCCATTCTGAGCTCTTTTGAGCTTTTGTTGTCAATTTTAAAAGTACTATAGAAAATCACATTTTATTACCATACTGAAGAAACTACATTTTTATGCAATGAAGCATTGTTAAAGAAAACAAGGCCAACAGGCCTGATTCTACTCTTCAAAAGTAACATGGAAATCATCATGGAACTGTGGGGACAAAAGAATGGAATGAAATGAATGCTTTTTGTTTTGTCCAGATCAAACAATGTTATGGCCCTTCTTTGTCAGTTTCCTTTGACTATTGTGTCTATTCTTTGCAATTCCTTATTTTTCCTTTAATCACCACTTAAGTTAATTAATTTGTGCTTATTAGCAATAAGTTATCTTTGCCAGGCACTAAGTATGAGGAATTGCAGTATTGTTATTAATAAACATTGTGATTATAGTAGTACCCAAAGGTACCCTTTTAGAATTAGACCTCACTGTGCTGGGCACACACAAATAGGCATTCTAGGGAAGTTAGCATTGAAGACTGATTATCACTAGACGTTAATATTATGGATATGATCATGCCTAACTGTACTTCCCACTCTCTTTCTCCTTTTTACCTTGCCTATTTTTGGCCTGTATATTTCTTTTCCCTATAGTCATCTCTCTGAAAGGGTTTTGTGACTATTATTGCCAGACCTACTGCTATGCTCCAAAGAGCTGCAATTCCCTAGTGTGTCCTGGTTCACTCTAATTCAATTTTGTGAAAGTTTCACAAATCTTAAAGAGATGGTAATTTTGAAAAAAAAATCCCCTTTCCCTTTCCCAATATCTATCTTACCTCATATTACAGCTTAAGTATTACGGCTATCTGTAATATGTAAGCTTCTCAAAATGGGCCGTGGGTAGGGTTGCCAGGTGTCTGGTTTTGAACTGGACAACGCAGCATTTGAGCTTTCTGATCGGGAAACAAATTGAGAAAATAGAAATGTCCGGTATTTTCTAAATAAGATGTAATGTAGATTGTGATGTAACGTCAAGTGTGTCCGATATTTTTCTTGAAACCATCTGGCAACCCTAGCCATGGGCTAACTTTGAGAAAACTGCTAACAGGCTGCTCTGGTTTGTTTATCTTAAGTCTCTGGAGTCACAGAGCCTTCCGGCTCCCTTTGGCTTTGGTTCATCACTTCCAATCAAGGGGAGCCACAGGGAGCTGTGTTAGAACAATGCTATTCACAAAACGATGCTGTCTTACATTTCTGTGTGGTCCCTTCCATAGTAATTTTATATGCTGCAGGTAACTCCATAAATGATCTCATCCCATGACTTACTATAGAAATGTAAGTCTGATCTTTTTGGTGATACGAGCAATGTTTTTCATAACTTATTAGATGACTGATGAGATGTAAAATCAATGATATCACAGAAGAACATCCCGTTGATTGTTTTATCAGAATAAATATGCCTTCCCTGACACAAATGCATTATATAACTTAAACCTCTCTAATCCGACACTATTTGGTCCAGCAATATCCGTGGTGTAGCATGATTTTAGTGAGCTGGGTATCTACTTATCATGGGTATGGCTAAGTTTCCTGTGGGCCCATAAAGTTTGTTTACAGCCACCAGTCCTGGCTCTCAGTGTTCTGTGCAGTTATTTAGCTCTAATTCACCCCTAAATGTCTTCTAATAGCCTACTAGGCAGGGGAAGTGTTGGTAATGCTGCTAGATAATATTGACCTCCCATGGTTCAGCAAATTCTCTGCTTTGGCACTGGTCAGGTCCCAATGGTGCTGGAGTAGAGAAGTTCAATTTGTACTTCCTTGTCATGGCATAGCATTAGCAATAAAAATGCACATCAGTTTAAATAAAAGAATGGCTAGTGACATAGTTTCATTCATTTTAACTTCCAGATAAGAGAAAAAGATTTGGAAATGAAACATGTCAAAAAGTACCTCCGGTAAACCTGAATATTATGGCTTCTTTAATAATAATAATTATAGGATTTATTTTGTCTCAGGAAAGAAAAAGAATTTAAATTGTTAATTAGGATTTAGCACTTTTGCATAATCATTTTACTAATGAGTGTTTACAATTATTATGTGGCATAATTGCTAATTGAAATAATACTTTTCCTTTTTAAAAAAGAAACTATTTAATGTGCTAAGTAGTTACTGGCCAAGTAACTGATAAGTAGTTATTGGCCAAGAAGTTACTATTTTTAGTGTATTATTTGGCACCCACATGAAAGATACTAATCTTGGAAAAAAACAAACCAGACCAAAACAAACCAAAACAAACAAAAAGGATAAATCCTAAAAAGTCTCAAATTTATCCTTCAAGGTACATGAACAAAATGAAGACTAAAGGGAACATTTTCAGAAGCAAGTAAGGGCTTTAGACACACATATCTAATTGAAAACCAGTAAGAGTTGCGTGTGTCTAAATCTGTTTAGGTGCATCTGAAAATTCTCTCCAAATCATAAAGAACTAGGAGGTTGTATCTGAAAGAAATATACATGAAACATCTCAAAGTAATTGAAGTTGGATCTCAGCAAAAATCCTACAGCCAAATAACCTCAAACTAAAGAGGTGTTGAAAACTTGAACCTTGATCCAGATACAATTGTAGAAAAAATTCTTATCTTTATAACTGGTCAAACCAAAAGTGCACATCTAAACATGTCCACACACTGTCGTTCAAAATCTGGGAGTGCCTTTTGATCCCATCTCTAAAAATAATATTAGAAAAAATTAAGATGCTGGGGGCAAATTTCACTTTTAGTTATATACTTAGCCCATTGTGTATAAAAAACTAAAAACTTCAAACTTTTCAGGTAAATTCAGTTATAAAAGATTAGTTCTTAAATACTAAAGTGATGGATACTTTAGAAACACAGTTTTGCTACTTCTCCATGATACTTTGAAGTTCTACCTTCTCCTGGCCCAGGCACACAAAATTCTCAGCTCTCTTCCTGCCTACTTCAACTTCTTCTCCTTGATCTCCATAACACTGATATTGTTCCACATGGTCTTTACAAAATACAACTATTACATCAAGTTTTTGTAGGTCACTCTGATCACAGTACTCCCATTTTTTATTCCCTATATTGCTTCACATTCTCCAGTGCTTCAAGACTGAGATTTTTATCAGCACCTTCAAATCCCCTTCCATTTTGTTTGCCTTTATTGTGTCAGCCTTTGCCTCCTTTAGTGTAAGGATAAGGCCTTTTTCTATAGCCACATTGTAAGGCCTAAAGCCTATGGCCTTCATCTGCAGCCAGATTGAAAGAGTTAAGTCATTAGCTGAAAAGCATGAAGTCACATGCATTCCATCTAAATTGCATTAAAATAGTGTAATATAAGGCTGTTCATGAGAAAACTCTGTCCTAATGGCACCCAATATCAACAGATAAAGATACAAGTCTTAAGATGGTTAAAGAAAACTTAGTATGATGGCATTCTGTCTAACAAGGAACTACTTATCAATACTTGGGGCTGTATAATTCTCATTCCTTTATTGTTCTATCATTATTGTCCCTACTTTACAAATGTTTGTATGATCTCTGTCTGGTTTTTAATTGTTTCTGTTTCTGTGTAATTAATTTTGCTGGGTATAAATCTATTAGGGTGGTGGGATATAATTGATTAGGGAATTACATTACAATATATTAGGGTTGGTTAGTAAAATTTTAGTAAAATAATTGGGTAAGGTATAGCTAAGCAGGACTCAAATTTCACTATATAAACTTGGGTACAAGAAGGAGACCAGCAGGATATTTGAGTTTTCTGATCGGGAAACAAACTGAGAAAATAGAAATGTCCGGTATTTTCTAAATAAGATGTAATGTAGATTGTGATGTAACGTCAAGTGTGTCCGATATTTTTCTTGAAACCATCTGGCAACCCTAGCCATGGGCTAACTTTGAGAAAACTGCTAACAGGCTGCTCTGGTTTGTTTATCTTAAGTCTCTGGAGTCACAGAGCCTTCCGGCTCCCTTTGGCTTTGGTTCATCACTTCCAATCAAGGGGAGCCACAGGGAGCTG